TAAGAGAGAGGTTTCAGGTCTTCAAAATTGAGCAGCTCCCGTATGCTAAGTTAAGGGACTCCACCCAAAGAGAGACATGAAATGATCACAAATCGAGGTGAAGAGGCAAAGGAGAGTTGGATGAAATAAAGGTAAAAGGTCCGCGATAGACTCTCAACCCGTGGGTATTGAAGAGAGTCGCAGAAACACTGTGAAAACCACCCACCCACACAGAGAAAGAAAAGGACGTTAGAAATAACTTTTTCAGTGTCAAGGTAGTTAACAGATGGAATGCAATAGGCAGTGATGTGGCGGAGGCTGACTCCATACACAGTTTCAAATGTAGATATGATAGAGCCCAGTAGGCTCAGGAATCTGTACATCTGATTGACGGTTGAGAGACGGGACCAAAGAGCCGGAGCTCAACCCCCGCAAGCACAACTAGGTGAGTAGACACACACACACACACACAGGTACCTTATTTCATGTTTTATATAGTATTTTACATGGTATTATATCAGCAAGGCCTACATAGTCATTACGTATCCACATATTGGATTAACCTTATCCTCCTTCCTTCCTTCCTTCCTTCCTTCCCTCCTTCCCTTACACACCCTTTCTTTCACAACCTCCTCCGAGGGCCACTCCTTACACTTAGTCTCAAACTTCCCTATAACTTCTTTCCCTTCACCCGTCATTCCCTCCCATCCCCATCACTCTCTCAGCTACCCCCCCTGCCCAACACAATCACCCCCCACCCCCCATTACATTTCCCTTACCAAACCGGCAGTCATTTATCTATTTCTATTAAAATCGCATTTATCTTTTTCTGTCTACCCTTCATTCCCCTCATCTATCTCCACCCCTCCCCCCATCTTTCCTGTTCCACTGCTTCCATTGCTTTCCTCTTTCTCATTCCAGTGTTAGGACGTGATTATTTTTTTCTATTGATCCTCGCTTAACATTCGCAATACAACGTCTTGAGATATTCAATTGCATGTCTTGCAAATTGTTAAGACTTCTGATTGGTGGTTTCGCAGCGCCTCTGGGGCTAACCTGGAGCCGTTAAACTCAAAGAGACGAATCGACGAGGCGAAACATTTCGAAACCGAGTGTAATTGATGAAGACTCTCGTCCCCCTGATCTGATTGGTGAGATTGAGTGTTCTTTCTGGGATTCGTCCATAAATTTCTGTAATGACTGGCGGTGTGCTCGTGTCTGTCGACCGAAGACGGGGTGGCTTCTTGGGCTTATTGCTAAGGATAAAATGCCTGGGGCGCCAGATTCACGAAAGCAGTTACGCAAGCACTTACGAACGTGTACATCTTTCCTCAGTCTTTGACGGCTTTGGTTACATTTGTTAAACAGTTTACAAGCATGAAAACTTGCCATTCAACTGTTGTTATTGTTATAAACAGCCTCCTGGCGCTTCGGAGCTCATTAACTGTTTAATATTTGGAAACAAAGCCGCCAAACAGTTAATGAGCTCCGAAGCACCAGGAGGCTGTTTATAACAATAACAACAGCTGATTGACAAGTTTTCATGCCTGTAAACTGTTTAATAAATGTAACCAAAGCCGTCAAAGATTGAGGAAAGATGTACAGGGGCCAGATTCACGAAAGCAGTTACGCAAGCACTTACGAACCTGTACATCTTTTCTCAATCTTTGGCGGCTTTGTTTCCAATTATTAAACAGTTAATGAGCTCCGAAGCACCGGGAGGCTGTTTATAACAACAACAACAGTTGAATTGGAAGTTTTCATGCTTGTAAACTGTTAAATAAATGTAACCAAAGCCATCAAAGATTGAGGAAAGATGTACACGTTCGTAAGTGCTTGCGTAACTGCTTTCGTGAATCTGGCCCCCGGGAATCCTTGCACTGTGTCCATCTTTCGCTTCCAGTAGATAAACGACAGATATATGAGATTAAGAAACAAGTAGAGTATTGTGAAGACTAATATTAACATACAGCAGCTTTCCTATGACTGTAATATCTCCAGTGCTCAAAGAATTATGTATTAGCGATAAGACCATTAATGTATAATGATTTACTGCAAATATATAGCTCTTGAAATAGAGCAATCTCTGTAACTAGCTGACATTGTAATTATAATGTGTAAAGGATAGATGAAACTGTTAATGTAATAATCTCCGTTGAGGTCTGATAAAGACCTTTTGTGCCCTCTGTAATCTTTTTTGCGCTACCGCTCACAGGATGAGTATCGGGTGCACAATAAACTAGCCGCCTCCGGCGGCAACAATCAAAATGGGCCGGCCAGTCAGCTGCATTGTTAGGCCGATCCCTCACAATGGATGGCTGGTTAGGAGCTAAAGGGTTAGAGGGGTAGAACAACACATACGCAGGAGGCGGGACCAAAGGGACAAAGCTCAACCCCCGCAAGCACAACTAGGTGAGTACACACGCAAGCACGAACGCAAACACACACATCCATATGCACAAATCCAAATTGGATTTGCTTTGGATAATGCACTTTCCAAGACAAAAGGCAGTAGAGAAGCACAGACCTGGCCTTGTGAGGCCAGCGGGTCTAGACCAAAGCTCCCCCTGGGTGCTGAAGGACCTAACAGGAGTGCTGCGCGTGCCACTAAAGAGAATATGCAAGAACAGTTTTTAGAGAGGCAGGATCGAGTGTATCCAGGAACATGAACAACGACAAAGACGACACCTGGATACAGAAGGTGCGGTCATTTGCATTTCTATGTCTAAAAAAGACATAGAATTAAATTAAAAAGAATTCCATAATTAAAAAGATTTGACTGTAAATGAGTTTATATTTCAAATCAGGAGAGAGAGAGAGGGAGAGGGAGAGATAGAGAAAGAGGAGAGGGAGAGATAGAGAAAGAGGAGAGGGAGAGAGAGAGATAGAGAAAGAGGAGAGGGAGAGATAGAGAAAGAGGAGAGGGAGAGATAGAGAAAGAGGAGAGGGAGAGATAGAGAAAGAGGAGAGGGATAGAAGAGAGAGAAAGAGTAGGCAAGAGGGGAGGGAGAAACGGGTACAGACCGACACGTAATGTATGGCTTAGGCTGATAATGATTTCCTCAAGAGATTGATGGTTTTCCACTCTCTCAAATTTTGCCTCTTCAATTTTTGATCCCAAACGTAATTAGGGAGAATGCTAGGGGAAAAAATATTAACCAGGGATTGCGATTAATCATTCAAGGTGAAATCATCAGCCGTTCCTCTTGCTAACAGACGATGGTGGTACTTCCCGTTGTTAGTGATGGTAGTCTGCGATGATTCCCGTTGTTAGTGATGGTAGTCTGTGATGATTCCTGTTGTTAGTGATTGTAGGCTGTGGCACTTCCCGTTGTTAGTGATGGAAAGCTGTGATGATTCCCGTTGTTAGTGATGGTAGTCTGTGATGATTCCTGTTGTTAGTGATTGTACGCTGTGGCACTTCCCGTTGTTAGTGATGAAAGGCTGTGATGATTCCCGTTGTTAGTGATGGTAGTCTGTGATGATTCCCGTTGTTAGTGATGGTAGGCTGTGATGATTTCAGTTGTTAGTGATGGTAGGCTGTGATGATTCCCGTTGTTAGTGATGGTAGGCTGTGATGATTCCCGTTGTTAGTGATGGTAGGCTGTGATGATTTCCGTTGTTAGTGATGGTAGGCTGTGATGATTCCTGTTGTTAGTGATTGTAGGCTGTGGCACTTCCCGTTGTTAGTGATGGAAGGCTGTGATGATTCCCGTGGTTAGTGATGGTAGGCTGTGATGATTCCCGTTGTTAGTGATGGTAGGCTGTGATGATTTCAGTTGTTAGTGATGGTAGGCTCTGATGATTCCCGTTGTTAGTGATAGTAGGCTGTGATGATTCCCGTTGTTAGTGATGGTAGGCTGTGATGATTCCCGTTGTTAGTGATGGTAGACTCTGATGATTCCCGTTGTTAGTGATGGTAGGCTGTGATGATTCCCGTTGTTAGTGATGGTAGGCTCTGATGATTCCCGTTGTTAGTGATGGTAGGCTCTGATGATTCCCGTTGTTAGTGATTGTAGGCTCTGATGATTCCCGTTGTTAGTGATGGTAGGCTCTGATGATTCCCGTTGTTAGTGATGGTAGGCTCTGATGATTCCCCTTGTTAGTGATGGTAGGCTGTGATGATTCCCGTTGTTAGTGACAGGTGTAGTCAAGGAATTTCCTTCTCTCCTCAGTGACAGGTGTCAAAGAATATTGAACAAAGAGTATTGAGCAAAGACAAAGAACAAAGAGCAAAGAATAAGCGTGAATATTCATTCACGCTTAATAACAGATGGCATTAGAGTTTAATATTGAATAACCGAGACAGGTGCTAATGGGGATTCGTGACTGTTTACAGGTGTTAACGAATAGAAGGTATTTAGTAGAGAAAATAGATTTTTGCTGCAGTGTCTGTCTATCTTAAGTCACACAGGTTCGTCTTAAGTCACACAGGTTCGTCTCAAGTCACACAGGTTCGTCTTAAGTCACACAGGTTCGTCTCAAGTCACACAGGTTCGTCTCAAGTCACACAGGTTCGTCTCAAGTCACACAGGTTCGTCTCAAGTCACACAGGTTCGTCTCAAGTCACACAGGTTCGTCTCAAGTCACACAGGTTCGTCTCAAGTCACACAGGTTCATCTTAAAGTCACACAGGTTCGTCTCAAGTCACACAGGTTCATCTTAAAGTCACACAGGTTCGTCTCAAGTCACACAGGTTCGTCTTAAGTCACACAGGTTCGTCTTAAGTCACACAGGTTCCTCTCAAGTCACACAGGTTCCTCTCAAGTCACACAGGTTCGTCTCAAGTCACACAGGTTCCTCTCAAGTCACACAGGTTCCTCTCAAGTCACACAAGTTCGTCTCAAGTCACACAGGTTCGTCTCAAGTCACACAGGTTCATCTTAAAGTCACACAGGTTCATCTTAAAGTCACACAGGTTCGTCTTAAGTTACACAGGTTCATCGCAAGTCACACAGGTTCGTCTTAAGTCACACAGGTGATTCCTCTTGCCAATCAGTATTCATTAGAGCCAGGTGTACCGGTATTTCCAGCCATTATCAGGGTGTTGGAGTCATCACTGTTGCTGTCGTTAACAAATTCCGTTGCAAGCTTCCGCCTTTCCATCTTGAAAGTTGCTGCTAATTCCTGAGAGCTGAGGCTTCTGTTAATCCGTTTAGGGCAAATGCACCTACCGTTGTCTCCACGTCTTCTCTTTATGTTGCTGGTGGCAACCGTTGTTGATGTCCCAGTGATGATAGTATGCTGCCGTTGTTCATGTCCCAGTGATGATAGTATGCTGCCGTTGTTGATGTCCCAGTGATGCTAGTATGCTGCCGTTGTTGATGTCCCAGTGATGATAGTATGCTGCCGTTGTTGATGTCCCAGTGATGATAGTATGCTGCCGTTGTTCATGTCCCAGTGATACAGTGGTGACGATATCAAGATATCTACTAAAGAGAAGGAGAGAGATCTCACATTATACAGCAAGGGAGATCTCTCACACACCATACAACAAGATCTCTCACACACCATACAACAAGATCTCTCACACACCATACAACAAGATCTCTCACACACCATACAACAAGATCTCTCACACACCATACAACAAGATCTCTCACACACCATACAACAAGATCTCTCACACACCATACAACAAGATCTCTCACACACCATACATCAAGAGATCTCTTACACACCATACATCAAGAGATCTCTTACACACCATACATCAAGAGATCTCTCTCACACCATACAACAAGATCTCTCTCACACCATACAACAAGATCTCTCACACACCATACAACAAGATCTCTCACACACCATACAACAAGATCTCTCACACACCATACAACAAGATCTCTCACACACCATACAACAAGATCTCTCTCACACCATACAACAAGATCTCTCACACACCATACAACAAGAGATCTCTCTCACACCATACAAGAGATCTCTCTCACCATACAACAAGAGATCTCACACACACCATACAACAAGAGATCTCTCTCACACACCATACAACAAGAGATCTCTCTCACACACCATACAACAAGAGATCTCACACACACCATACAAGAGATCTCTCTCACCATACAACAAGAGATCTCACACACCATACATCAAGAGATCTCACACACCATACAACAAGATCTCTCACACACCATACAACAAGAGATCTATCACACACCATACAACAAGAGATCTCTCTCACACCATACATCAAGAGATCTCTCACACACCATACAACAAGAGATCTCTCACACACCATACAACAAGAGATCTCTCACACACCATACAAGAGATCTCTCACACACCATACAACAAGAGATCTCTCACACTATACAACAAGAGATCTCTCTCACAACTCTAACAACAGCTTATTATACAACACAATATTCCCCTCAAGTTATAAAAGTCAGCCTGCAGGATATAGCTATACTCGGTACAAGCAAGGTAAACACCCCCCCCCCCCGCGGCAGCTAAAGCTTCCTTATAAAACTTTCGCTATTAAAGCTATTTGTCGGGGAGAAAGGTGTTCGCTATCACAAGCAATTTACACTGTAAACAGAACGAGAGGCACCGCAGTAACTTACACTGTGTTATCTGATGTGGAGAACACTTCACAGCCCAGCTAATTTACTCTGTGTTAACTGCTTAGTGTAAGCAATGGGCCAACCACAACATCCTGTTGATGTTGTAAAATGAACTACGTGGGGGAGAAATGTTAGGCACTCCCCCTGTTATCCCACACACACACACACACACACACACACGCAAGCACACGCAAGCACACACGCACTCACTCTCCAATCACGTTCCATAGTGAGGGTGTAGGCGTGCCAGGGGGTGACACGCAAGGCACTGTGAAAACGTGGCACTCTAAATCGTAGACAAGGTTAAACAACTAGCCAACCAGCCTCACCCCAACAACCAGGCAACCAGCCTCCTCCCAACAACCAAGGCAACCAGCCCCCCCCCCCCAACAACCAGCCTCCCCCTAACAAGGGGGGGAAGCAGCAACCACTACCACCACCACGTCTCCAGCTCCGAGTATTAATATTCATAAAAATCTAATTTCACAATTTGCCATCCCTCTAATTCCTTCTTGATTTGTGGAAGTTTTGAAATTAGATTAACCCCGTGGAATACAACTGGGTCCTAGTAATTACTCTAATGTAAAGGGGGGGGGGAAGGAGGGAGGATAATAGGGGGGGAAGGGGGAAGGGGGGAGAGGGGGGAAGGGGGCGTGATAAATGGTTCACCTTTCAACCATCTTGAAGCAGCAGGCACAACAGCCTGGGTGCTCTATGTAGAGTTTTGAAGATAGGGAAGGGGGGGGGGATGGAATGGGGGGTATGGGATGGAGAGGGGAGGGGGGGAAGCTTGTTAGGGTTATCGAGGTCTCAACTAGGGTGATCAGGTCAAATAGATGGCACCGCCAGTCGTTAACAAGGGCGCCGGGATGTGATCCGCGGCAGTTGACCAATTCGAGGTTAGGTTAGGTTAGGTTTAGGTAAACGGGAAATACATGCATTAAGGTGTTGAGAGCTCTATACACTCAGTCTCTCACCCTGTTCGGGAATCGAACCCGGCACCAATAGGGCGTGAGTCAACTGCTTTAATAGCGAGAGTGTGTGTACTCACTTAGTTGTGCTTGCGGGGGTTGAGGTTTGGCTCTTTGGTTCCGCCTCTCAACTGTCAATCAACTGGTGTAGAGATTACTGAGCAGAACTGGGTTCTATCATATCTACATCTGAAACTGTGTATGGAGTCAGCCTCCACCACATCATGTGTTCGTTAGTAAAGGGGTTGTAAGGGGTTCGCTTCTGTTACGTGAAACTTTTTGTATATATAAAATATGTTGACCAGACCACACACTAGAAGTTGAAGGGACGACGACGTTTCGGTCCGTCCTGGACCATTCTCAAGTCGATTGTCAATCGACTTGAGAATGGTCCAGGACGGACCGAAACGTCGTCGTCCCTTCAACTTCTAGTGTGTGGTCTGGTCAACATACTTCAGCCACGTTATTGTGACTCATCGCCTGTATATAAAATAGTTTGCAAGATCTCGTCTCAGCTCCTAGGCCCTGCCTTTCCAATTTTTTCATGTTATATCTTCTTCTAGAACTCAAGAAGCAGGTAGCTTTAACTTACCTACTATGTCCTTACGCTCAAGTATTTACTCACACCCCAATAGTTACGCCTGCTTGTCGAGTCTTGATTAATTGCCCTCTTGTTACGTTATCGCTTAACATAAACATCCTGAATATCTATTTCATATATTTTATATAATGTACCCATTAGTATTGTGTATGTTTGGAACATGTCCTCCCTCTCTGTTTCTTCTTTCTTCCAGTGTAACTGGCTCCCTACAGACGTAAATGGTTGTATATAGAGACTATTGTCAGATGCTTCTTAAACATCTTGTACTAACCTTGAGGTTACCTTGAGGTGCTTCCGGGGCTTAACGTCCCAGCGGCCCGGTCGTCGACCAGGCCTCCTGGTTGCTGGACTGATCAACCAGGCTGTTGGACGCGGCTGCTCGCAGCCTAACGTATGAATCACAGTTCGGTTGATCAGATATCCTTTGGAGGTGCTTACCGAGTTCTCTCTTCAACACTGTGAGGGATCGGCCAGTTATGCCCCTTATGTGTAGTGGAAGCGTGTTAAACAGTCTCGGGCCTCTGATGTTGATAGAGTTCTCTCTTCAACACTGTGAGGGGTCGGCCATTTATGCCCCTTATGTGTAGTGGAAGCGTGTTGAACAGTCTCGGGCCTCTGATGTTGATAGAGTTCTCTCTCAGAGTACCTGTTGCACCTCTGCTCTTCAACGGGGGTATTCTGCACATCCTGCCATGCCTCCTGGTCTCATGTGGTGTTATTTGTGTGTACAGGTTTGGGACCAGCCCCTCTAATATTTTCTCTCGGCTCAGCTAGGTCTATCGAGAGACTCGCTATAAAAGACTACTGATTATATATACATTGTGAAACTATTTTCCTAAGATTGTTACTTAAATAAATGAAATTTGGGATTACGTTCCCAAGCCCACTATGTTCCTCCTCAACCGCTTCCAGTACCTCCCACGGGATGGGTATGGGGTCCACTACCCCAAATGGGATGGGTATGGGGTCCACTACCCCAAATGGGATGGGTATGGGGTCCACTACCCCAAATGGGATGGGTATGGGGTCCACTACCCCAAATGGGATGGGTATGGGGTCCACTACCCCAAATGGGATGGGTATGGGGTCCACTACCCCAAATGGGATGGGTATGGGGTCCACTACCCCAAATGGGATGGGTATGGGGTCCACTACCCCAAATGGGATGGGTATGGGGTCCACTACCCCAAATGGGATGGGTATGGGGTCCACTACCCCAAATGGGATGGGTATGGGGTCCACTACCCCAAATGGGATGGGTATGGGGTCCACTACCCCAAATGGGATGGGTATGGGGTCCACTACCCCAAATGGGATGGGTATGGGGTCCACTACCCCAAATGGGATGGGTATGGGGTCCACTACCCCAAATGGGATGGGTATGGGGTCCACTACCCCAAATGGGATGGGTATGGGGTCCACTACCCCAAATGGGATGGGTATGGGGTCCACTACCCCAAATGGGATGGGTATGGGGTCCACTACCCCAAATGGGATGGGTATATGGAGTGCTTAACAGATGAACAGAAATAACTTCCAGTGTTAAAATTTTGTTGATTCTGATCTATTATAGAAGCTTAAATCCCTTCAATTATCGGATTAATCATTCCACAAACCTCCTTCAATTATCGGATTAATCATTCCTCAAACATCCTTCAATTATCGGATTAATCATTCCTCAAACCTCCTTCAATTATCGGATTAATCATTCCTCAAACCGCCTTCAATTATCGGATTAATCATTCCTCAAACCTCCTTCAATTATCGGATTAATCATTCCTCAAACCTCCTTCAATTATCGGATTAATCATTCCACAAACCTCCTTCAATTATCGGATTAATCATTCCTCAAACATCCTTCAATTATCGGATTAATCATTCCTCAAACCTCCTTCAATTATCGGATTAATCATTCCACAAACCTCCTTCAATTATCGGATTAATCATTCCTCA